TTTACCAGAGTTAATCTCTGCTACTGCTAGTAGTCAGCTGTAGGAGCACAGAATTGAGTATTGTCTGATTTGTATACTGATGTGGTAAGAGTGCATAAACTAGGTAGCTTAGAGATGAGAGAGCTCTGTGCTGAATTGCAAATGTATAGTGCATGCGTGATCATTGCCTCATTTATCCTACTTAAAATTGTTTTGCTTATGCCTGACTGTAAAAACATTGCCATTGGAGTTTTTAAATAAAACTGTCCTCAGAAAAGCCAAAAACTTAATGAAAAAGAAAATAGTGAAAATGTAGTCTTACATTACATTTGACAGGAAAAAAAAAAAGTTCTAAGGGCTTGAAAAATCACGCTACTTACAGCATAAAGACAATAATTAGCAGCATATTTACAAATTTACTTTGTCTTCATAAATCTTACTGTCTTTCATATGTCCATGATTTTCTTCCGTAAGTTGCTTCTGAAAATAAGGCCTTTTACCTGAGAAGCAGGTTCTTACCCTGCATGGAGGAAAGCAGCGGTTAAGTGCAACTCTGCAGGACACTCTTCTTGTACATACTCATCCTAAAATAATTGTCTTAAGCAACCATTAGATTGTGTAGCAATGTGGGTCAAGCATGCGGATGAAAAACTTTTAGCAATAGTCAGTGGATTGCAATTCTTCGTGTTCCTTTTTCTCCCATTTTCTTTTTCTATTTTTGCTTACTAATTTCACCTGTTGCAGTTGCTTTATCCTAGACATTCATTATCACAGAAAAGAACCGCATGTTTACAGACATGTTTGCACAACGGCTAACAAAATGAGGGTCTTAGTACTCTACTAGCACTATAATAACAAGCAGAAAACAAACATCTGTCCTTGGAGATGGAGAGAAACTTTGAAAAATGCTGTTGCCCTGTCTTCTGTGGGTATTGCACTCAAAACGTGGCATGACTTTTTTGTTACTTTGGGAAATGCTTTCTCACAGGTTTGTTTTGAGAGTTTCTGACACGTATATATAATAGAAGAATATAATTTGTTCCTTTTACCCACGACTTGAGTTAAAAATAAAGCTTGGTAAAATACTCTTTGCTATTTTGATGCTTCTTTGTCGTGTATAAATTATATCTGAGATCAAAAAAAAATGCAAACTTCTAAGCAAATGTATTTATTTTCAGACATTTAAGTCACTTAGGGTTGAATTCATTGACAGGTATGACAGGGTGCAGATTCAGTATAGTGGGAGCTAAGCAGGCAACAGGAATTTGTAATTGATTTTCCTTGACCTTATGCTTGTAGAATATGAAGTATATATTATTGCATGTCTGAGCGGGTGTGTGTGTGGGGGGGTGCATCTGTATCTGTAGTATGGGTTGTTTTTCCTTTTGTGTAGCGTATGCATCACTTTTAGAAAACGTAGTAATAGTGTCGATTTTACCGCAGCAGACTTCCAGCCAAGGTGTTGCCTGTGTCCTTATGGCTGGACTCTACTGCCTGGAGGCCATGTTCAAATACCTTTCCCACTGGATCTCATAAAAAAGAAAAAGCACTCTTTTGACAGCTATGATTTGATAAGACTTCCTCATTTTTCTAGGTGCAGGGACATGTAGTGATGTATCTCTAAGTAGACATAAGATCCACTCAGTGCCACTGAGATTCAAACTGCATAGACTCTAGGAGCAAGCTGGACATGGGAAGCGTTTGGAGCTACTGAAAAAATAGAGGGTCTTCTGATGTAATTTCCACGTATGTAATTTATTGTGAATAATTATACTAAAATAAGAGGGGTATTTTGTCTATGATTTTGAGCTATATTCCTGGTTTTGTTAGGAGAAAGCTCATTTTTGCTGTTCAAATATGTAAATAATACACTGTTTATGTGGGGTTTTTTGATCATAATGATATTTTAGTATCCCTGGCCAACAGAAACAACAAATAACACTTCCATGTGGAATACTGTGGCCCAGCCAGAAATGCTTTGATGCCTTGTTTTTGGAGGATAGATTATCACGGTCTGGCTAATACTGTGCATTACTGCAATATTAGTATAGACACATAGTACTGGGAGGCATGAACTGTACATTACGGGACAAGACATTGTAAAAAGAATGCTACAAATGATGCTTTTTCTCCTAAAACTCTCTTAATCTAAACAGAAAACTAAAAGATAAAGAAATAATGGAGGTGCAAAGAGAGGATAAGTTCATGTTAGATCACAGTGGATCTATAATCCCAAATAATTTCTTTCTTGAATCCCAGTATTCAGTACAAGCTGTGTAGAGATAATCATTCAAAGATCACTAGCCATTTAAAAACATTATGCATATATTAAAAATAATGCTAATTTTGTTAGACTCGTGCTAAGCACCTCTCTGCAGAATGCTTTCCTTTTCTGTTCTGCTTTATTTTGATTAGTGTTTGTTGCCCTGTGTCTGGTGTCTTTGATAATTCTAGTCCCTTGATCAAAATAGCAAAGCAGCTGTGTGGTGGGTGCAGACTCACTGTTGGGTCTTTGGGAACAAGCATGTTGGCAGTACAGGTCTTGCCACGAAGCAGGGAAATAGAGGACTCTGAAGCCTGAGTCAAAGGCCTTAAAAAAAGTTTTTTGCTCAGCTTTGCATAGATTGTTTTGAAATAGCAGATAAAATATCTTTTTGTCTGTTTGAGTTTGGTTCCCTTAATTATGCAGATCTATGTGCATGCTGCCAGCATAGTTATACATAAAAGAATACTATTCAATCAGAAATTACTGTTATATATTTTTCCTTTTTTAACTAACTAGAGTGATTTTCAAAACATGATAGTGCAGGGCCAGCTTTTGAAGAAATGTGGTGCATGTTCTCAGCCTTGTTAAAGTGAGTTCGTTTTGTTGGATAATGTCAAGAACATATGTACACGGTTGCAAGAACTATATAGGGACACTTGCCTTTTCATGGGTAACTAACTTATGAATCTATGGCATTGTATTCAGAACCATATTCTTTATGATATATATTCATTTTGATTGTTACTTAACCTGTAATGTCTATGGATTTTATTTCATTTGTTTTATTTCATTTGATCTTCGAGGCTGTAGATAGATTCAGCAAAATATAGTCAAATTTGCTGTGCATAGCAATATCAATTGTGCAATTACAGGGTGTTCAAAAATTACTTCCATGTACATATTTTTGTATAAGTAGATTCCATGCTGCTTCCTTTATGAATTTCAAACCGAATATGAAAATCTCAGGAAGACATTCCTCGAATCTCCTCCCACAGGCATCTAAAAAGAAAACAAAAATATCGGGTGTTTAATGTAATCTCTCCTACAATGTTTTTTTCTGACCATTTCCTCTTTCTTCAAAACAAACTTGAAGTGTACTGTATCTACTTGAATAGCAAGAATATACAAAATATCTCCTGCGCTGAACTGTTTCTTTGAAGGGAACCACAAACTGAATATAGTCCCCAGGCCCTCATTGCTGAGAGCTGCATCTTCATCTGTGTATGAGCAAACACGTCCTTGTTGAAATCTGATCAAATATTAAGGGATTCCTTGCATGGCATACAGAACGTCCAATTTTGATATTTAATGTTGATCTGATTGACATTCCTGGAATTTGTCATTCAGAAGAACAGATCAGGCTGTATTGTTAGCTGCACTTAGAGCTTAGTATTTATTGTTGGAGTGTGTATTGCAAAGTGTATTTTATAAAAAGAAGCCATTCTAGTAATTTTGCTAAATTGTGATATACATGTCAGATATACATCAGTATATCCTATCCCATACATGAGTTGCAATGAAACTATAATGCACATATTTACTAATATTTCTTAACCATTCTGTTAGCACAAACAATGAAGGGGTCATTTTATTATTTTATCAAAAGTCTTTGTAGGATTAGGGAAGTTTAGGGGTAAGATGTGTTAGACCTTATGGTCTGACAGTGTTATGCTGCTGCCTCATCAGAAGCAGAGATGAGCAGGCTTTCTCGCTTGCATAATTATTGTTTTAATTATATCTCTACTTCTGGAACTGGTGCCTTCAGTTAGTTGGTGCTAACAAAGGAAGTGTTAGTAGAAATAGAAAGAAAAAGTCATGTTGAGAGAATGCCATAGACAATGGTGTTTTGTATAATTTGAAGAAGTATTTGCAACTGAAAATTCAGAAGCTTGAAATTCTACCCTTTGACTTCTTTGAGTACTGCAAGCATGTAAGGTGACAGTCATCATCATCCATGGAGATGGACTATAGTATAAATGGTTTACAAAGTAGATTTCTTAAATATGTACAAAGTTCTAAAATGTGTATTTATTTATAATTTTTATCAAGCTCTGATGAGACAATACTGACAGAAGTGCATCTTTTGAAATCAATAAAATCAAATCATCCTCAATTTAGCCTTCAATATTCTTAGTTAGAGGAATTTTTCCTTGAAGGCTGTAGGATGGTCAATGAAATTTTGCAGTATCATTGTACAACACATATCTGAATACTAAGTTGATTTAATTATGATTGTGTCCCCCAATTTTCTCCTCAAATTTTGAATAAAAAGGAATCTAGAACAAAAACTATCTGCAGTAGCAGAACATTTATTTTCCCCCAAAAAATAGTTAAGGACAAATCTTGCTCCAAATTTCTGTACAACACTAAGAACTACACAAGGTTTATGCCTAAGATTTATATACAATTAAAGGAATCTCTTATTACTTCCAGGCAATTTAATTGGGCTCATGTTTTACTGATTACAGTCCTCAAAGATACCTCTATTGGATTTTTAAGAGGTATCAAGTGAATTATTAATGATGGCTCAGAAGTTTGTGTCTCATTTTGAACTATAATTAAGGAAGTATTCATGAAAGCAACTATATTTAAGAGAACCTAAAGAAGTTGAATAAGATTGTGAGAAAATGTCTTTGCAATATGTATACCTCTTGCCCATTTGTTCTGTTCAAATACAATCCGCATATGCCAAGCCTGGTTTTCCAGTGGACACAGCAATATATAATAAAACAATGTTATTTGCTTCTTCCTTTAGGGGCTGATGTTATCAATTTTGATGGCCATGTAGTGTTACCGTACAGATTCAGGAACAAGAAAATGAAAACACTGAAAGATGTCATCTCTCTGAAATTTAAAACCTCTGAAAGTGAAGGTGTAATCTTCCACGGAGAAGGACAGCAAGGAGACTATATCACCTTGGAACTTAAAAAAGCCAAACTTGTTCTTAATTTAAATTTAGGTATGTTTTGTTTATTTTGAATTTTTTAACTCTCAAAAGAATTTGCAGTCAAATAGGATATACTTTTGCTCCTATTGTGTGCAAGCCACTTCATGTAATTGAATCATTCTATTTTCTTACTGTTCCTTTCTTTTCCATTCCTTTCCTTTTACTCCATATGAAATAGTACAAAAATAAAGTCATATGTAAAAGAAAGGTCAAAGTATTTTAGCATTAGTAACTTGCCTCAAATGAAAAAGCCTTGGTAGAATTATATTTGGCTTCAGGGATTGGTTATTCTGAGAAAGAAAGTGGTTTTGTGAGAGCACAACTCTACCAGCAGTGTTAGAGTAATCAAAATCATCCTCAGGAAGCTACAGGAAGAAAGATACAGCTTTGAGAAGCTGCAGACCGTATGAAGTTGAGGTTTAGTGACCTTCCTAGAGAGAATCTTAGCTGCAGGGTGGGCAGAAGGAGGATTCTCACCTTTTAAGCTCCTAGTATGAAACCCACTGAAGCTGGTAAAACTACTGCCTTTTATATAGATAAGACTTTGTTGTGAATAGATAGATTTTTCACATTTATCATAAAGGGGAAAAAGCTGTCAGGCTTTGTACAAGCAGGACTGAAACTGAAGGAGATGAAGAATGGAAATCACAGTATTTGTAGATGTGAAAACGGGCTAGCAAAGGAAGATAACTCATTTGCCTATCAGGCAACCTTAAGAAGGTTATGAACCCAGATACACTATTCTAAATCCTGCCTCAAAAATCCCACTGGAAGAATAGGGACTTATGAGCAAGCTGGTTTATAAAGTACTTTTTTTTTTAATGAAACAAAAACATATTTATCTTGTTTCAGGTCATCTTTTCTTTCAGACAGAATAATTTTTGAACAAAGCTTCATGTAACTTCTTCTCTTGCAATCAAGTGAACAGTAAATTATTCTATTCATGTATTATTTACCATGAATAGCAATTATTTCCACTAGCATTTTCTTCTGCTCTTTTTCTAAAGATCCACAATGTGGGAAGATGATGAAGGAAAAAAAAATCTTCCTATAGCAGTAGTCTATTTTTTTAACAATTTTAATTGAAATGCTAATCCACTGATTTCCAGTTTCTTCATATTCCTCATTATAGTTTGTCTCTCTGCTCTATTGTAGCTTCCTTACACGTGCTTAAGGAGGTGTTTAAATCATTAGATGGACAGACACTGTCACGCACACTTGTTTAGTAGACATAGGTGATGGTCTAGGATGTCATCCTTCCCCCGAAGATTGTCTTTGCGGCAGACTTAGGGGAAGGGACTTCATAGAGGTTGTAGGAAACCAGTGACCTAGTTTCAAACATCTAAGGAGGTGAATTCAGCTTCTGCTTTGCATAGTTTTGACTTTGCATGGAAGAAAACCGAAGCACATATACATGTGTGATACACGTGTGATTTTGTGTGGGTTTTTTGTTTGTTTGTTTTGTTTGTTTGTTTTTTACAGCAGCTATTGAAAGATCAGTGAACAGTGACCTCCAGCAGAAAGGTGATGTTATTAAGGGTGTAATGTCTTAGGCCATGGCAGTGTGATTTCCCAAAACATGTTTGTGTCATGTACAGCCTTAATGTCTGAGTTCCAGACATGATACTAAGAATTTCTCAGCTCCAAAAATACTCTTAGATGCTTATGTATTCAAAACCCGGAAGACTGCACTGAGTTATTGGGCAGTGCAACAGTA